TGGAAAATGTGCATGAATGTGTGGTATTTGGAACTCTATTTTAGAACCCAAATGTCATAGACATCTGGACACAAAAATTATGCAAGAGAGACCTTTAGAAATGTGTTACTAATTATTGACTCTTCCCTGCAACAACACAACTGAGCCTTTGTTATATGTACTGTGTGCAGTACTGCTGGAGACTGGCTTTTTTCACATTATGGTTTATTTTCATAAGATATTTCTCATAACTAGCATCACAAAGCACTTCATGGAGTTAGTAAGCCTCAGAAATAAATGAATTATGTTAGCAGTAATGAATAGACAAAACAAAATCTTAGAAAAAAATTGTACAAGGAAGGAAGAGGAAGAAATAATGATCAAGCTAGCTGAAGAATTAGGCAACTAGGGAAATTCAGGACAACTAGCTATAATGGAGAGACCATGTGCAGTTGTGGAGTTAGGAGAACTGGATTCTACTACTGGTCTTACAACTTTCCAAATATGTGTTTTAACTCCCTGTGCTCTGCTTTATTATCCATAACATGAAAAGATGCTGCTTTTAGTATTTAAGGTCTCCTCCTATTGTAAAATATAGGTTATAAGAATTTAAAATACCTTGAGTTCAACTACTATTAAGTAACTAGGAACAGATCTCAGTGATAGTGTCTAAGAACCAGGCAAGATCCCCGTTCTCAGAGAGCTTAAATTGTAGTGGGGAGGGAAGACAAACAGAGCTATAAATAAAAAAATCATAGCAGTAGCAGAAACTATGAAGAAAATAAGACAAGCTCATATTCTAAAGAGGCACTGGGTGGTCTGGGGCAACATTACAGAGACAAGCAGGGAATAGCTAAGACCTAAAGAAAGAAAAGAATCCAGGTTTGTGAAATCCAAGAGCCAGGACATTCCTGATGGAAGTTACAGTGCCAGAGACCTGGGTAGGAAACAGACTAGACTTCCTTGAGAAACACAGAGAAGCCAGTAGGGTTGGAAGGTAGAAATAAGTGGAGGAAGGACAAGAAAAAAGGTAAACTAAGTCATGGATACCCTGATAGGCTATGATTGGAAGTTTGAATTAATATTTTAAGTGCAGTGGGCAGCACCTGGAGGAATTTAAGCTGAAAAGTGATGGATCTAATTTATTTAAAAATATCACTTTGGCCACAGTGTTGGGGCTTGATTGCAGATGGCCGAGTGAAAGCAAAGAAATCCAATTTCAGAGGCTATTATAAAATGCCAGATGAGAGATAATGGTAACTTGGACTAAGATGAAGAGGGAGAGGCCTGAAACGTGTTGAGTGGTGATGTATTGGTCTAAATCCTTGTGTTTAAATGTCTTCAGTGTTAATGTGATACTTTAGAAGCTGGCTCAGATTAACTCATAAATTTTGTAACCGTGATTTAAATTCAATGAAAAATGAAGGACGTCATCTAGGATAAGAATAATGCCAAATAAATGTCATTTGCTCTGAAAACTTCTGTACTGAATTTGGTGCTATTCATATTTGGGGCTTTGCAGTCAGGTTTGCAAATAAAGAAAAATAGTATATTTAGAAAAAGAAGTCAGGGGTACCTGGATGTCTTAGTTGGTTAAGTTTCCAAATTTGGCTCAGGTCATAATCTCACAGTTCATGAGTTCAAGCCCCACATTGGGTTCCACGTTGGTAGCACAGAGCCTGCTTGGGATTCTTGCTCTCTCCTCTTTATCTGCCTCTCCCCTATTGATGCTTTTTCTCTCTCTCAAAATAAATAGATAAACTTTTAAAAAAAATCTTAAAAAAAAAGAAAAAGAGATCCAATATCTTTATTATAGTTTGATGATTAGCAAGGATTCAAGTAAATACTGCTAATTATATATTTTTAAATATATGAATTTATTCAGTAGTTTATTTTTGTGAAGCATTATAGTAGGTATTTCCAGAGGATGGTCTCCTTACTTTGGACGATTCCCCTAAACCAATTTGGCGGTAATTAAATAACTGGAACTATCCTTAAAAATATATAAAACATATCAGTTTCTACTGCTGTTTCATTACATTTGTAAAGTAATACAGAAAAATACACTGGCCAATAACAGTAGAAAATCAAGAGATGTACTCAATTTGTAGAGAGCTAAAGATAAATGATGTTATAATTGCCTTTTTCTTATTTAAAGATACTAGCATGCTAAATCAATATGTATAATATAAACATAGATATTTCCTAGGTTTAAAAAATGTCATTTGTAGGCTGTTTACTTAAAACTTGGGACTAATTTTCCCATGGAAATAATATAGCCTCCCAGGCCAGCCCAAAACATCTGTTTAACCATTGTAGAGTCAAATATTAGTGAGTGGGACCATAAGTTAAGGTTACAGGAAGCATAAGGGCCTCCTTATGCAAGAGGAATATGAAGAATAAAAATATTTCTGTGCTTTCTCTTGTTATAGGCATAAATCTGGAAAATTTTGCCATATAGTAATATTGAGACTCTGCCATCTCCTTCTGTGCAACTCTCTGCCCTTTAAAAACACTGTACTCTTATGTTACTTGGACACCCAGTATTGTGTACTACCCAAATTGCTCTTTATCCTCAAATTATCTGCCTCTTCTTCTTGCCAGAATTATTCTGATTTTTCTTCAGTGTCATTTAAAAGTTAGGAAAGCAACTCTCCCTCTCTCTCTTTCAAAATAAAATAAACAAACATTTAAAGAAAAAGTGGGGCGCACTCAGTTGGTTAAATGTCCAACTCTTGATTTCAGCTCAGGTCATGATCTCACAGTTTGTGGGATTGAGCCCTGTGTTGGGCTCTGTGCTGACACTGTGGAGCCTCCTTGGGATTCTTTCTCTCCTTCTCTCTCTCTGCCCCTCCCCCACTCATGCTTGTGCTCTCTCTCTCTCTCAAAATAAAATAAACATTAAAAAAATAAAATTAAAAATAAATAAAAATTAGGAAAACAATCTGATTAAACAACATATTAATTTATAAATGGCTGGTCAATAAGTAAACTTTAGAACTATGTATACCTTATAAATGGATGCCTATTAACCTCAGTGACTCCCTAACCTAAATTCAGGCAATCTAACAAAGTAAAAGGATTTTACACAATCTGAGATAGCATATATTAAAGGGAAAAAGAATGGAGCTGCATAATTTTTCCTACTTTCTTTATGTCCAGAGTCTCAACTTCTGTAACAGCTCCACGTACAAATTCCTTCATGCATTTTAACCAAGTTAATCTTTATTACAGTTCTATGGGTGGGTATGTCCTACTTGCAGAAGAAATTGATGTATCTCTATTCTTCTCTGGCATATATCAATGGTCCATCCCCTTAGAATACACCCCTGGTGAGATTTTCCCCAAGCAGGGCTAAGCACCAATCTTACACCTCATCTAAAAAGTCACCTTGTACCCACCGCTCAAATAGTCCTGGAAATCTTTAATGTTTTCTATAAAGTTTTCCTAGTCTGGTCAGAGAACAGTAATTGCATACATGGTGTCACTCTGTCTGGAGTCGAGAACACCTATGGCTATGCTTCCTATTTGGTAAGACGGAGTAGAAAGAGTTCTAGTTCAGTTTTTGTGCTGATGCTGTCAATAGCTTAAGCAGATCATTTCCATGTTATGCATCTCTCTTTCCTCATCTAACTGGAAGATGGATGTGTGTGTGTAGGGGGTTATAAAGGGTATATAATACCTGTTGATCTTCTCTACCAAACTGATGTCCAGAAAAGATGATGCATTTGAAAACTCTTTGAATAAGTAGAAAGCACAGTGATTCTAAAACACAACTATTTTTTTTTAATATAATTTATTGTCAAGTTGGCTAACATATAGTGTATACAGTGTGTTCTTGGTTCTGGGAGTAGATGCCCGTGATTCATTGCTTACATACAACACCCCCAGTGCTCATCCCAACAAGTGCCCTCCTCAATGCCCATCACCCATTTTCCCTTCTACTAGACCTGCTCCCCCATCAACCCTCAGTTTGTTCTCTGTATTTAAGAGTCTCTTATGGTTTGCCTCCCTTTCTGTTTGAAACTATTTTTTCCCCTTCCCTTCCCCCATGGTCTTCTGTTAAGTTTCTTAAGTTCCACATATGAGTGAAACACAACTATTTGTTGAACTCTCGCTATGTCCAGGCACTGTGCTCAGTACTTTCCTATACTTTATATCATTCAGTCAACAAACAAGAAGGTATTAGAAACCCCATTTTACGGAGGAGTGATTGGAGGCCTAGATTAGTTAAATGCCAAAGGTCCAAAAGATATTGTCACATCAGTAGTCACATGGCAAGTAATTTGGAAAGCTGGACTGTGAGCCCAGGCCTATTGCTCCAATGCCTTTGTCTTCACCACTGGATTATATTGCCACACATTCTACACATGTAAGTCAGTATTATCTGCCTCATCTACTTTTATGAACCTTAAATACACTTATCCCTAAAACATACATTCTGAATCCAGTTGACTAATTTTATAGTGACTCACTCTCCTTATTTTGCTGTTCGTGTATTGCATGTCAGTGTACTCTAAAATTTTCTTTAAGGCCCATTTTCTTTTGTGCTCTTTTTATAGTTCCTAATGCAAATGTATAAGCAATCTTTCTGAGTATTTTATGATGAGAAGGAAGAATCAAGAATCTAGATCAGGGGAAGGTGAATGAACCTATTGAAAAGGGTCCATAAAACAAGTGATCCTCACAGAAACAGCTGAAAGTTTTAATAAGTGGCCAGCTATAGTATAGTTAAGCGCCAAAATATGCTAATATTGTGTAAAGATAATTTTAAAAGTTGTGTGTGGGTAGTGAGTTGTGAGTCACATACTGAAAGAGGCTTAGCTTTTTTCTTTTCTATTATATAAATAATTGGAATCACATTTCAGAAAAGTGCCCAAAATAGAGCAACTAGGATTAAAACCTTTAAAAAATACATTGAATAATTTCTTTTTTCTTGGAAGCTGACACTGATTTCAATCTATATAGTAGATCAAAACCTACTTTTATACTCAAAAGTATCTTTTATCTCTGTTATATAGGTATGAAACATAATGCAGATAATGCACAAGTTATGTCCTTCAAGGCCATGAATGATTGTGGCCAACCTTGGAAAAGAAGTCAGGCATCCCATGAGTAGAATTAAAAAAAAAAAAATGAAGTCAACTCCTGAGCCACACAGAGAATACCTGTATACACACTCTTCTGAGCTTCTGCAACCACAGAAAACCACGGGGGAGATCATGTGAACAGAGAGCCTCTCTTCCTAGCCTCTGGCAGTGAGTAATTTTTCTACCCAATATAACTTTGTGAAGGTCACCTCCCATCTTCTGCTTTTGAGTAGAGGCAGAAAGAGAAGTGTTTTGAAGGGTCAGTATGAGAAAGATTCAGCTCTTCATATTTAATTTTACCTCTTCCTTTTCAAAACATTATTTTGGGACTATAGCTGTTAAAACCATCATGTGTCAAGTATAGTCAGTATCTAGGGGACTACCGTTAGGTGCTTCCAGAATGCCATTGTCTGAGAACAAAAATCAGAAAGTATGAAAGTAGGGCAGATGAGACCTGTCACCTATAGATGAGGTAAATAATAACTGTATGCCTGAGAAAACTGTGACTATGTCTTATCCAGGCTGATTGCCTTATTCCCTGGTCTACCTGTAATGTGATTAAGAGGAAGTGAAAATCATAACTAGGATAACAAGGCCAGGCCAGGACAAAAGGCCAAGGAGCGAACATCAAGAGTGAGAGGGGTGAGTTCTGAGGTTGCCTCATTATGCCCTGTCAAAACAAAACAAAAACAAGTGAAAATTGCAAGCAGAAAGCAAGAATCTAGGCAGCAGGAAAGACCAAACCCACCCCCCCCAAACAGAGAGTTGGTAGTATTTCTCCTGCATTGGTCGGGAGAAAGTCATTTACCCTACTAGATGCAGTGTGTCCAGGTCCCGGAGAAGAAGTGTGCTCTGTTAACAGCGAAGTCAGGGATGGTTCATTTGGCTTTTTTCTAGTCTGGAAGAAACATCTCATAAGACTGGCAGTTTCCCTTTCCTATGACTCCACACTTAACATATGGCCCTCTGATTTCTAATTTTGCCTCCTGTTTAACAGGAGTGGATAGGAATAGTAAGGTCTCTAAACACATCTATATCTTTTATTGTTAATTAATACATTTGCATTTTGTTTTATATCTCAAGCTTTTATAATATGACTTCTGAGGTTAATAGCTACACCAAATAATTTAGTCAATTCAAGTTCATTTTCAAAGTCAAATTTCTTAGACACACTAGACGTATCTGGACTAAAACCCAAAATATGTGATTTAAGCAGAATAAGGCAAATAAGTTGGTCAGCTAGCTTTTCTCTATGATTCCTTTGTGCCATACTGTTATAAAACTCCAACAATAGGAAGAAGATTTTTGTGGTTGATAAAACCATTTTTTGTACTTCATAACTGAAGATAAAGAATGAGCAAATGCTATTGGTGACAGAGGCAATGAAGCTATTTCAACTCCAAGCATCTGGCTTTTGAAATCATTTGCATGAGAGTTAAAAGATTTTCAAGTTGTGTGCATACCCAATATCATTTAACATAGCTAAAGACTATTATCCAGTATTGAGGAATACGGTCATTCCTTAAATTATGTGTCCTATTTCATGTTAGGCATTGTGTGCAATGTCTGGAAATCCGAACTGAGCAAGGCATACAAATAAATAACTAAAATTATCAGCGATGAATTGTGAGATAATGTTCAAGGTGTAGTGATGGCAAGGGACAGAGAAATTCCTGCTCCTGGGGTGAAGAAAGCTCCCTTTGAGCTAGGTTTTGAAAGAAATGCAATGTATTGCTCTCTTGGCCCAGGAGGAGAAAGGGAATCCAGGTAGGAGAAAAGGCTGGGAAGCAAAGTTTGGAAAATATGAAACAGGTTGGTTTGTACAGCACATTGTTAAGCAAGGAGAAGAGACAGGAGGTTGCCTGCTAATGACTTAATCAACTGGGTGTGGGAGGGGTCGTTGGTGACATTGAAAACAGGGAAACAGCATGACCTTAAGAAAAGTATAATTGTGATGACAATGAAGCAAAGGGGAGCAGGAGAGAGTCCAGGTCTTGAATTAAGGCAGTTGTAATATGACTGAAAAAGGAAAGGCAGGTTTGAGAATGGTTTGGCAGCTAGAATCCGTAGGGCTTTGTGACAGATTGTGTTTGGGGGCGAGAGAAGGAGGAACTAGCATAATGCCCAAATTACTGGCTTTGGAACATAGGGATCTTTTATTATATCTTTCTCTAAACCATTATACATTATTCATTGTGACATTGAAGATGTGCCTGCGTAGTGAAACATCATTCGTTTCAACTAAGGGAATCCCTAGATTAGAAATCAACCCCACCTACTCCCACCCATGCTTTTCCTGTCCATTTTATGCTTTTCTCAGGAAGCTATGAGATCTGGCTCCAGACAAAAAACAAAAAACAAAAACAAAACCAAAAAACAAACAAACAAAAATATGTAAAATTAAAACAGACCTATTGTCCTAAAGAAAGAAATATGAAAGCCAGAAGATACAGTTAAACCCATTTGAAATGCTTAGAACTATGTGTCCATGGCTTTATCACAGACTGTAGCTGTACTCTTCGTGTTCAGCTCTGCCTGGTTTTCATTAAGCAAAGAAACTGGCTTTCAATAGCAAAAATGTAAAAACTCATTAGGTTTCAGGATAACCAGAGACTTGTGCTTGAAAATTTAGATGTATATTAACAAAATTACATCTTGACTTTTTCTACCGGATAAAAAAATGAAGCAAATATATTATTATTCTAAATACGTATCACATTTTCATATTAAGGATATTTGAGAGTTAAAAAATTTACATGAATATTGTTCCTCAAATTTTGCTCAAAGTGTCCTAGTGCTTCATGTCTCACCTCTTGTGTGGCCATTAGGGAGGGATTCTAGCGTAGTTGTGCTCAGTAAGCTAAGCTCTGGAGTTAGATTGCCCAAGTTCAAATGCTGGCTCTGTCATTTAGGTCTTTGGGCAGTCCATCAGCTGCCCCTTTTATCTTGTCACACACACATGAAACTGATAATATCAACATGATTTTGAGTAGAGCCCAATTCTAACAGAAATACTAGATAGGATTTGACTTCAAGAAACGTATGATCTAATTCAGTATTTCTCAAGCTTCACTGGGTACTAGAATCAACCGGGGGAGCTTATTAGGACACAGATTGCTGGGCCCACCCCTAGATTTTCTAATATAGTAGATCTGGGGTGGGGATCAAAAATTTGCATTTCTAGCAAATTCCAGGTGGTGGTCTGGGGCCTATACTTTGAGAAATACTGATCTAATTGAGAAGGAAATTCATTGAGAAAGAAATAGATGAGATATAATAGCACTTAGAAAACATGAACACACTGTCATAATTTTGTTTAGGAAGCTCAACTATATACACAGGGAAATCCAGGGGCTGATGAACCATTCATTTAAGTGAGAATCACTAACTTTGTTTTATTACTAGGATGACCTTGAGTTTCTATCATTGTAGGAATGTAGCCTCATATTTGTAGTGTGTGCATTAGCCCCACTCAGAGAAACCATACTTCAACTTGCCAACTTGCCTTTTCCAGTATTTCGGGGTTTTATGCTTGAACTTGAACCATACCAAACCATGAACCATTAACTGGAATATAGCAGGCTAATTTGTTGAACTCCAGAACTAAATTAAATCCCAAATACCCTTTCCTTCAAGTGTGAACCAAATGAAAGAGATTGTTAAAAAAAAAAAAAAAAAGTGAACTAGTTCAGATTAGAAACAAATCTTTTAGTTTTTTAAAACAACTGAAATGCAAAATCATATTTCCTAACATACCAATTCATTAAAAACAAAATGAAATAAAACAAAGCTCTGTTTAACATACTCTCATACTAAGTAATGTAGTTGACTAAAATGCTGAAATAGTAAAGCCCCATAAGAGTCTGGGTCCCAGCAAGAAAGAGCATTCCACTTAAAGGGTTCAAATCAAGACATGTTAATGAAACAACTCCTTAGGGTGATGTGGGAAGGGAGTTAAGGAAACAAAAGAGGGATGTTGGGGTACCAGAAGACTGGCAACCGTAGAAAGTTGTTACCAAGGGGGCTAAGAGGCTGAAGAAGAAAATGGTGTTTACTGAACCTAGGGAGAAGAGGAACCATGGAAAAGAGGCTGTCAGGCAGGAAATTTAGTCTTGGGGAACAGCCCCCCATCCCCCGCCCCTGCCATACACCACAACATACATAAATTAGAATAGGGTTGCTAAATCAAGAAGGAAGCGGAGAAGAAATACCCCAGCATCTCTCTCCTCCCAGCTTCTGGGGACTTCCTGGTGCCACCCCCTGTCTGAACTGAAAGTCTGGTGGCTGGAGCCCCAGTGTCAGAGTCAGAGCCCCAGAGTCAGCTTCCTGGTAGGGCAGGGCAAGGCAGGTGTTGGAGGACAATGGAGACTGACCAGCACAATCCCCCTTTTTTGCTAAGTAAATGCTAGATGTTAGATGAAATATTAGTAACCGAGTTAATGTGTGTAAAGTTCTTAGAAAAGCCCTGGCAATGAAGAAACATCATACTCTGAAAGTTAGCTATTATTGCTGCTATAGGCTGGCATTGTTTTGTGGATAAGGAAATTAAGGCTCACAGACTTCAAGCAACTTTTCCTTGGTTAGCACTAGGTACAGAGCCCACACTCAAATCCAGGTTTTCAGATTCCAGTTTTGTACAGATTCTGCTATGAGAATTGACTATTGCAACATATAAGTTATAAGATAATGTGTTGCATGCATAATTAATTTTATAATTTCTTATAGAAAAAACCATCTTTACTCTCTTGACCTGACTGATGAAATCTGAAACCAAACTAACACCTTATGAACATACATAAAAATAAAATAAAATGAGCTATTATTTCAAAGACAATTCTGCACATTCAATAATAACAATTGTAGTAATAGTAATAGTTTGTTAAACTTGTTGAATGTTTATTTTGTCTAGTACTATGCTATTTTCTATATCTCGTACTAACATAACCACTAATCTCTGTCACTTATTTTTTTAAATATAGTTGACACACAATATTACATTAGTTTCAGGCGTACAACATAGTGATTCAACATGCTTTGCTCTCTGTAAGTGTAGCTACCATCTGTCACCATACAACACTATTACAATACCATTGACTATATGCCCTAGGCTGTGCCTTTTATCCTGGTGACTTCCTCATTCCATAACTGGAAGCTTGTATCTCTCATTC